CATGCTGGCTGAAATCTCCGAACTCACTTTAATATATTCTATAAAAAAAGGAAATAAATAATAATAAATTAGGTCAAATGTGATTAAAATTTTTTTAAGACAAATAACAGTTTAACAGTAATGGACATAAAGCATTTGTGATAAATTTATGTAAACTATATAAGAACACATTTAAATTTTAGTAATCTTGAACTTGAAAAGCTTTTGGTTTGCGAGTTTCATTTGTAATAATAATTAACTAGTGTCTACCATGTTAGTTTTAAATGAAAATAAATATTTTGAATTTTTTCTTAATATAGTAAATAATTTTTATGCGTAAAAAACTATTGTCACAAAGAAAAACATAATATATTATTTTATAGAGANAAATAATTTTTATGCGTAAAAAACTATTGTCACAAAGAAAAACATAATATATCATTTTATAGAGATTTTTTTTGATTATTTAAGTTTTGCCATAAATTTTAAACAAAAAGTTGATTTTGACGAACTAAAATTTAACTTGTTTATGTTTATGAAAACTTTCCCACGCTGTGTGGTTTAGAAAACTTTCCTAGCCGTGAAAATTATCATGCGTCTCACAATTGGACTGTTTTAAAATTATATTATTTTTAAAAATATACTAAAAAAATGTACTCTTATACATTTAATTTAAATCAATATGCATCTTAATTTTGAACAAAAATTTTAGGCGTAGAAGAGGCTAAGATATAAGTCATAATATTGAACAAGTATTGGATTATTGTAACTAACCGCCGTTTTGACTAGTTGAGGAAGAAATATTAATTGCTAAAACGTGAATTAATGTAATAGATTAACAATTTGTAGTCTATAAATATTTTACAAATCCATAGATAATAAAAACATGAATAGGGCCATTGGCATGTTATAGATAGTTCACTGTAATAAGAAATACGCTGTGCAATGTTTTACTGCCAGAAGAATTTATAGATTAGAGAATTCAAATGGATAAAAACCTATTTTATTTGGACTATAATGAATATTACTAAACGCGGTATTTGTACGTAGTAATACAGGTTTCTATCAAAATTAAAATTAGAGCCACATTTAGTTGAACAATGACAATAAACAATGTGCGATTTATTTAAACCTTAACCTTTATAATAAATTATTTCAATCTTTCCTTATATATTTTAGTATAAATTTAAAAAAACTTAAAAATAAAAAAAATTTTTTTATAATATTTCGGTCCAAGAGCCGTTATGATAAGAAGTTTAAGAGAATTACGACAAAGTTATAGGGCGCAGACAAAGTGCAAGACACACATATTAAGCGTACCACGAGAAAGACATAACTGAGTACAAGATGCAGACGTGGTACAAAATATAAGTACTTGAGTCAGGTAAGGGAAAGAATTAAGGTAGGCGTCAAAAATGATCAAACTAAATCTTGACACAAGGTTGCTAGTCGGACAGCGAAAATTAAGTACTGAGAGTGATGTTTTGGCAATAAATCGTGACGCGCCAATTGTAGGGGGTTAATAAAAATTAAAATATAATGGTCTTAAACTAAATGACGGTTAAGACGTTTATAATCACGCAGATACAATTTTATTAATTGGATAAACTTAAAATAGTTGATACTTTGACCCAACACAGTGAGGTCAATACTACTACATTATCATCAAACAATCAATAGACCACAATCTTATCTCACCACGCTTAAATACAATGAAAACTCAACAAGTTTATCAGCATGTAAGTAGCATACATGATAATAATGAAAATAAATATTTTATTAGAGATAAACCAGGCTGTAGCTCAGATGCTTCACGTAGTTCATCAAGAAAACAAGTAAAAGAAATAGAAAAAAATTTATCAAAATTTGTACCAAAAATGTATAAACTACAGTAGGGTCTCGATAATCCGAACGAGATTGGGGAAAGGGGTCGTTCGGATTAGCGATTTGTTCGGATTACCTATGGCTTAAAAAAAACATCAATTTTATCGTAATTTAAATTATGAAATTGTATTTTGTCGTGATATGCTTGGTACTTTGCATTACGCATCTCACAATTATCAATGAAGAAGGTATAATCTGTATTTTGAATAACTTGTGGACAAACAAATAATTTATCTGTCATAACAAATACAATGTTCAACACAATTTCTTATTATATACATATATGTCAACTCATCTATTGTTAACTATGCTATCAATATAATTATCATGTAATGTATACTTTGAAACAATAAAATATAATCATGAATAACACAAACGGCAATATCCCTGGATATGGGGGTACCTTTTTAGTACTATAAAAAGTACTGATATCCATTGAAAAACCCAGAGAGACAGAGCCACGGCTACGGCTAAGGCCAGAGCCACAGCTCCAGTAAGCTAGTTCTTTCCTGCGAACTACTCTTGCTATTACATTTTGATCACGGCCCCGTGCTGCCGTTTGAGTTATTTTATTTTGTTCACTTTATTTATGTTTAAAACTTATTTTGATCTATAAAGACATTATTACCATAAACAAATAACATTGAGTAAAAATTGGCATTTCTGGTAAATACTTCATTTATCTTCTTGGACATTACAAAATACGAAGGTAAGTCAATTTATATTATTCCATTTATTTAAAGTTAATAATCTGAGTAAAGAACGATAAAGCAATAGATCTATAATCTCCTTTTAATATCAAGAGCTATTTTGCTAGTTTGTTCACACCTGCTACATATACACATTACAGGGTCTCGAGGGTCGGATTACCGCCCCGTGCCTAAAAAGAGTTTAAAAACCTAATGTGTATCTGATTATATTAATAGACACTTCGACTGGGTATTCGAGGGTCGGATTACCGCCCCGTTACCTCAGTGTCCTATTAAAGGTGTTTACAAGTTTATTAGCTCATATTCCTCAAGAAAGAGGACATGCTTTTATTTCTTCATATCTACTTGTCTTTATTGTTCTAAACCCTCGAACCATACGACCCCGATAGAACCACAACATCAGGTTCTCACTATACCCATCATTTATCGCTCATTTTCATCATTTATATTTTACTAACATTTTTACTTTTTTTTATTTGTATTTTTGAATTATAACAAAGTGGCGCCCAACAACAGGCTTAGTTAATTTTACTAAGGGTTTTTTTTGACTATTTCTCAGAAAAAGTATTTGAATTGCGATTTTTATATTATTTATATGAAAAATTGGTTGAGAATTGTTTCTTTGTCAATTAAAAAATTAATTAAATAAAACTTGAAAATCAAATCGTGCTTATTATATGAAAATTTAAATTATTTATTTATTGAAAATTAAAATTGCGTATGTTGAAATTAAATTGAATTTAAAAAAAAAAAGTAAATTGCGCTTATTTGTTTGAATAGAAATTATTAAATATAAAATCGCGCTTATTGGAATTATTTATTTATTGAAAATTATATTGAGCATAAATTAAATTAAAAATTATATCTCAAAAGAAGTAAAAAATTGAAATCATTTGGGAATTGAATTATTGACCAAAAAATAATTGATTATATTATTGATTGAAAATCATATTGTGCTTACATTAAAAGTCGTTTAAATCTAAAAAAATTTAAATAGGCTTATTATATATAAAATTGAATTTATTATTGAAAATTGCGCGTAACTTAAAATTATTTAAATTAACATTTTGAAATAAAAAAGAAAAATTACGAGTTGAGAATAAATTTATATGAATAATACAGTATTTGAGAATAAAATTGTATAAGTGAATATTTAGAGTTATGTCAGAAGAAGTAGAATTAATTGAGATACAAGGTATTCCAGACGAATACAAAAAAACTTTAGAATGGATTAATAGTTTAAAAAGACCCGATCTTATTAAAGAACTTGAAACAAGGAAGTTATCTACTACAGGCACTGTATCAGAATTAAAAGTTAGGCTATTTTGGTTTTTTCTACCAAAAACATTAACGCAAACTAACAACAAAAATATTATTGATCAAAATTTAAATTCACCTAAAGTAACTAATAATTTCAACATGAATAAAAATTTATTTTTTAAGCCAACAACATTTTCGGGTGGAATAAATGAACGCGTAGACTCATTCTTAAAAACATTTAATAGAGCAGCGTTAATTAATAATTGGTCAGACAATGATAAACCGCAATATTTAGTTGCATTTTTGCAAGGCTCAGCTTTAACTTTTTATGATAATATTGAGTCATTGAAATTACCCTGGAATGAATTAGAGAAAAAGTTTAGGAATGAATTTGAACCCATTGCTCAGAATGATATGTTACGTATTTTATTAGAAAAAAGAAAACAAATGATGAACAAACAGTTGCTTATATTAATGATATGGAATGATAATTTCTTGTGCGCTATCTTCCTTCCATCTAGGTATAAAAAATGTAAATTTCTTCTTAAGTACTGATTTAAAAATTGTTATCCACTAGTCATTTTCTTATNTTAGGTAGCGAAATAGTGAGAAATGTTATGAAAGGTCTCAAACCAAGCATTGCGAGATACGTTAGTATTTTAGACAATAATAATTTAGACGAGTTAAAAAGAAACATTCAGAAGTATGAGATGGTTGAATTTATGATTACTGGAGAAACAGCTAAAAGTCCGTCTGAAATAAAACAATCTATAATTAATGAAAAAATCAATAAAATCACCCAGAATAATGAGAATGATGATTTAAAAAAATTAATTGAAGAATTTCAAAATTTTAAACAAAATCAGGAACAATTTTTTAACGAACATATTAATCTTATACCTAATNAGAACAATTTTTTAATGAACATATTAATCTTATACCTATTAATAGGCAATTTCAAAATTATAACAACTCATCTAGTAAATTTTTACAAAGAAATAATCAATTTCACAATAATAACAACGATTCACATTATAAAAGTCAATTTCAAAATAATAATAGATTTAATAATAACTCACCACGCTATAACAATAATCAATTTCAAAATAATAATAGTTCTAAAAATAACTACAATCAATTTCAAAAGCAATATATACCTCATGATAATTATAATCAAAATAACAATTTACCTAGTAACAATTATTCAAAATTCAGAAATAATGATCAAAATTTTTCACAATTTAAAAGTAATTCTCAACAAATGTACAGACCACAGTTTAATCAAAGAGAAAATTTTCAAAATAACAATAATTTTCAAATGAATCGTAATTCACAGAATTACAACTCAAATAGTTTAAAATGTAATTATTGTACTAAGAGTAATCACAATTCAGAAAATTGTTATTATAATCTTAATAAAACAAAATGTCAATTATGTGACCTTATGGGCCATACAGCTCGTAACTGTTCAAAAAATTCAAAAAACTAATTTCTAGGTTAAACGATAGTGCTGAAGAAAACAGTTTACCTTTTAAATCAGCACACAATATTATAAATAATATGACAAAAGAAAGTCACCTTCCTATTGCCTTACATTTTTATGCTACATTTNACAAGAAAGTCACGTTCCTATTGCTTTACATTTTTATGCTTTATTTAATGATATTGAAATACCTATCACCATTGACACAGGTTCAAATATATGTTGCATAACACATACTTTAATCCCAAACAATCAAATCAAATCACAATATTTTTCAAATATATGCGGTCCTGACAATAAACCACTAAATATTCTAGGCACAACAAATATAATCTTAAATATTGAATCAATAGATTTTATCATTAAAGTATTTGTAGTAAAAAACTTATCTTGCATGATTATTCTTGGTAACGAATTTTTAGACAAAAACAAAGGTATAATAGACTTTGATAAACAAACAATGTGTTTGAATGAACAAATTCATTTACCCATATATTTGGATAATAATTTAAATCTTAATCAATTAAATTCTAATTTTACTGAAAAAGTAATGGATCTATTTACAGTGTATGATTATTATTCAATAGCACATTGTACTTCAGTCGACCTTAAAATGAATAAAGGCATAGCCTTGGAGATATGTAACAAATATGGTAATATGGCACCAATTTTATATAAATTAAAACCAAAGATAGGTGATGCTATTCCAGTCTGCACTAATGGTAGAATTATTTATTTTTTAATTACAAAAAATTATTATTTCGAAAAGCCAGAATATATGAATATTGAAAAGGCTTTAAACAACTTAAAAATTCAAATGATAAAACATCATGATAATCACATTGCAATGCCTAAAATAGCATCAGGTCTAGATAAAAAAGAATGGACCATAATCAAACAAATGATCTTTTCAACTTTTTTAAACACTAGCATTAATGTTTTAATATGTCATAAAGATAATGAATATATTACTAATGATTGGAAAACCAAAGAACATTTTTCAGTCATAAATACAATTCAACAATTTTACAACGAAAGAAATTCAAACAATACTGATAATCACACTCACAATAGTGATAATGTCAATAGCAAAGTCAATAATTATAATCAGAATAATAATAGTAACTTAAACATTTTTGAATCTTATAAAAAGGGAGAAAATATTTATAGTGAAAACAATTGTGGATTTTTTGCAATCATTAATGCACTTAATGACGGGAAAACTGAAAAAGTAACTTCAGTATTTGAAATTTTAGAACTTTTAGAATTATCTGATTTACCTAATTATTGGTTTAGTGACGATGAATTAGCAGCTATTGCAAATTATTACAATCATGACACATATATTTTTAATGATACAGATAAAACTGGAATTATTTATGGTTTAGGTAATCGCCCACCTATAGTCCTATACAATGTAGATAAAAATACACACTGGATCCCAGGCACACAATCTAATAAACCATCAAGAGATATTCCTTTAAAAACAATAAATTTTACAGAATTTGAATCTCTTGATAACATTAGAAAATCTATTTTTAAACATTTATGCAAAAGTAAATCAAATAATATTGACAGTAATAATTTAATCATTCACAAAAACAACTTATCTACAAATACACAAGAGAATTCAAATACTAATAATTCATTATTGAACATCAATACACACAAAAATAATAAAGAAACCATCACAGATATGGAAGGGAACACAATTAACATTTCACCACATTTATCGGATTATCAACACAAACAGGCCATTGACCTAATATCACAATATACACATTTATTTTGTAACGATAATAGTTTAATTAAACCAGCAAATGTAACGCCATGCGAAATAAGAATGAAACCAAATTATACTGATCCCAAATTCAATGCACCTCACAGAATATCACCGGAACAAAGGGTAGAATTAAAAAAACATATAGATAAACTTTTAGAAGCTGGTATAATAAAACCAATCACTTCTAATTTTGGTGCACCAGCATTTTTAGTTAATAAGAAAGAAAAAAATTCTCACAGATTAGTCGTATCATACAAAGAATTAAATGACAGAGTACAATCAGATTTATATCCAATTCCAAGAACCACTGATTTATTAAGAGCATTAGAAAATGCACAATATTTTAGTTTACTAGATTTTAATAGTGCATTTTTTCAAATACCTGTAAGACTTAAAGATCAGTACAAATTGGCTTTCACATCTGCACTTGGCTTACATACATTCACTAGATTACCACAAGGTTTTAAAAACAGTAGCGCCATTTTTCAAAGAAAATTAAATGAAATTTTTTCACCTTTATTATTCAAATCATTAATTATTTATCTTGATGACTTAACTTCTTACGGGAAAACCTTTGAGGAAAGTTTAAACAATCTAAAACAAGCCTTTGAAATCATGGATCAATATAACTTTTCTTTAAAAACTAGTAAATGTAATTTTTTCTATGATGAAATAGAACTACTTGGTCACAAAATTAGCAAAAATGGTATTCAACCATTAGACAAAAATACTAAAGCAATTACTGAGTTTAAAACACCCAAAACACAAAAAGACGTTAGATCTTTTATAGGAATGTGCTCATATTATAGAAAACATGTCAAAGATTTTGCAAAAATAGCAGATCCTCTTACTAACTTAATTAAGGGTGACATCAAAAAAATTACTTGGTTACCTGAACATGAGGAATCTTTTAATAGGCTTAAGCAAACTTTAACTACTCATCCTGTTTTAAAACATTTTGATGATGACAAAAAAATATTTTTAACAACAGATGCTTCTATTACCGGTCTAGGTGCATGTTTAGAGCAAGAACATAACAATATTTTATACCCAGTAGGATATGCTAGTAGAAAATTATTAGCTAATGAAAAAACATATTCTTCAACAACTTTAGAATTATTAGGTCTATGTTTTGGCGTAACTTATTTTAGAGAGTATCTCTGGCAAAGGCACTTTATAATTTTTTCAGACAATATTTCTATTCAATACTATAAGACTCTTAAAATACCATCTGCTAAAATTGCTAGATTAACTTTAAAATTATTAGATTTCAATTTTGACATAGTATATAAAAAAGGAAAAGATAACAAAGTAGCTGACGCCTTATCAAGATATTCAATTAACAAAATTTCAATTGACAATTCATGTAATACTCCAAATTTAAACTTAACAGATATCAAAAAACTTCAAATTAATGACGAATTTTGTAAACATATTATTGACGCCTTAAATAATAAAGACGTTCCAAACAAATTCAAAAAAAAGTCTAGACAATTTTCATTTATTAATAATTTATTATATTACAAAAAATTTATTCCAACAAAACAAATTGAAAATTTATTAGTAATACCTTCCAAATTAATATCTCAAATTTCAAAATCTTATCATGAGAGCCCCATAGGAGGACACACTGGTATTTCACGAACAATTCACAAATTACAACAGAAATATTATTGGCAAACTCTTGTAAAGGATGTTACTGATTTCATTAAATCATGTCCAAATTGTCAAGTAAATAAAAAATTAAGTGGTAAACCTATTGGTTGCTTACAACCAATACCTGTATCCAATAAACCACTATCTAGACTAGTTTTTGATTATCTCGGTCCTCTACCTTCCTCTAATAAAAAGAAATACATATTAGTAGCCACGTGTCATAGCACAAAATACGTATTCACTAAAGCTGTTGAATCTGACACAGCAGAATCAACTGTAAAATTTATCATTCAAATAATTTCGCAATGGGGATGTTTTCAACAATTCACATCAGATAGAGGCACACATTTTAGAAACGATTTAGTTAAGCAAGTTTGTGAGAACTTGGGAATAAAACAGGGTTTCTCAACTGCATACTCCCCCCAAACTCAGGGTTTGGTAGAAAAAATAAATGGAGTTATCTGCGCATCATTAAGAAATTATATTGAAAATAATGAACAATCAAGATGGTCATATTATTTACAATACATAACTTTAGCGTACAATTCAACCCCGCAAACAAGCACTGGCTATAGTCCTTTTTACTTAATGCATGGCTTTGAACCATACTTTCCCATTGATAATAAAATACTTCCTGACAATATTCCTTACGATATAATGAAATCATTAAAAAATTTACAAGATATAAGAAACAAAATACCCCTAATTATACAAAAAATTCAAGATATTCAGAAAAATAACTATGATAAAAAACATGTAATTTTAACATTTAACCCAGGAGATTTAGTACTAGTCAAGTTTCCTTTTTCTCAAATAGGCAAATCACCTAAATTAGCCCCTAAATATAGAGGGCCATTTAAAATCATTAAAAAAGTAAGTGATCAAAATTATATTATTGAATTAAGTTTAAACAATAAAAAGGTTAATGACACCGTGCATGTAAGGCGTCTCAAACCTTATTTTTCTAGACATTATGACTAATGGAACATTAACATTATTTATAAAAAAAAAAATATGTTCATATCAAAAAATTTTTATACTTTCTTTATTTTTAAGCCAAATAAATATTACACATTATATTACTTATATGTAAATTATTCATAAGTTATAAATATACAAATCATATGAAAGCAAAACTTTCTTTAATGATTGAAATGAGTTAATGAAATATTCATTTACCATATTTAATATTTTTATATTATACATATTTAATTACACCATGTATACATGTAAACATTGAATATCTTAATATGTAATTTTATATTTCACAAAAAAATTGTACTATTTATTTAATCAGTAATTGTAATTTTATAATTGGATCATAAAACAAATAATTTTGTAAAAACATCACTATTGTAAAGCAAGTCTCAACAATTTCAAATCATTAAAAAAATACAAAAGATCGATACGAATTAAGAAAATGCAATTCATACTAGTAATGGTGGTTAGAATAATTAGTTCGGCAATGATAAATCAGCTATACCAGATGAAGACTTCGGAATTCAAATTATCAGTAAAATCTAAGGGATCGAGTGCTCATATAATATCAGTACTTACGAAGATAAACAAATAAAAGAAATCTATTTATGTTTGCAAATGTTTTTTTTTGATTTTGACATTTATGATTTCAAAAGAAACATACAACTACACAAACTAAAAATGTGAAGTCCAAAAATAAAGAAAAATCATAGATTTCCAATTTGAATAGCATTTCTATAATTATCATGTACAGAACCAAAGAGCAATACCTTATAATTACAAAAGCAAAAATTCCAGAAAACAAAAAACGTCTGAACTTATTATTTTTAATGACTATTACTACGTATGGAGAGAACAGGACGATGACTTTTCAGACAACATCAAATATTTTTTTTTCCACAATGTTTTGAATAAGTTCTATCACATTATTTTTACATAAATTTATTTAAACAAAAACTTTAAATTGTCTTATCTTTTAATATTATATTTGGCACCATACAAACATATACACTATCATACTATTATTTTTTATGTATTCTATAATTTTTCAATCTATCTTTCAAATGTACTGGCCCATACTATTAATTTTTAACTAATATTTAATATTCACATTAATAATTTTTAATCATTATATATCATAAATACTAAATTTATTAATCAACTACTGTTGTACTATATTATTATTCAAATATTCTATTATTTTCATTTGTACTACTGTTGTACATTTTATCATTAATTATAACTTTATATTATCTTATGTTTTTTTTTTTTTTTTTTTTTAAATTATTTTATTGATAATTTAATATTATTGTACTACTATTACATAATTGATATTCAATATTTAACTTTATTCTTTTAATCACATTATATTGTAAAAACATTAATAACTATTTTATGTCATAAAAATATTATTTTCATATCTATGTAAAAAAGTTGTGAGGACACAACACTTTCAAAACTAGGGTGGATGTCGTGATATGCTTAATACTTTGCATTACGCATCTCACAATTATCAATGAAGAAAGTATAATCTATATTTTAAATAACTTGTAAACAAACAAATAATTTATCTGTCATAACAAATACAATGTTCAACACAATTTCTTATTATATACATATATGTCAACTCATCTATTGTTAACTATGCTATCAATATAATTATCATGTAATGTATACTTTAAAACAATAAAATATAATCATGAATAACACAAACGGCAATATCCCTGGATATGGGGGTACCTTTTTAGTACTATAAAAAGTACTGATATCCATTGAAAAACCCAGAGAGACAGAGCCACGGCTACGGCTAAGGCCAGAGCCACAGCTCCAGTAAGCTAGTTCTTTCCTGCGAACTACTCTTGCTATTACATTTTGATCACGGCCCCGTGCTGCCGTTTGAGTTATTTTATTTTGTTCACTTTATTTATGTTTAAAACTTATTTTGATCTATAAAGACATTATTACCATAAACAAATAACATTGAGTAAAAATTGGCATTTCTGGTAAATACTTCATTTATCTTCTTGGACATTACAAAATACGAAGGTAAGTCAATTTATATTATTCCATTTATTTAAAGTTAATAATCTGAGTAAAGAACGATAAAGCAATAGATCTATAATCTCCTTTTAATATCAAGAGCTATTTTGCTAGTTTGTTCACACCTGCTACATATACACATTACAGGGTCTCGAGGGTCGGATTACCGCCCCGTGCCTAAAAAGAGTTTAAAAACCTAATGTGTATCTGATTATATTAATAGACACTTCGACTGGGTATTCGAGGGTCGGATTACCGCCCCGTTACCTCAGTGTCCTATTAAAGGTGTTTACAAGTTTATTAGCTCATATTCCTCAAGAAAGAGGACATGCTTTTATTTCTTCATATCTACTTGTCTTTATTGTTCTAAACCCTCGAACCATACGACCCCGATAGAACCACAACATCAGGTTCTCACTATACCCATCATTTATCGCTCATTTTCATCATTTATATTTTATCAACTTTTTACTTTTTTTTTTTTGTATTTTTGAATTATAACAATTTTTATCTGTATTAATCGTGTAAAAATTCGTAATTTCAAGAGAATATATAAAATATACAACATAAAATAAAAATGAAAGTAAAAAAATATTTATATAGTAGATACACCTATCCCAAATTGTCTTGAAATAGTACTGTAGCTGGTCCCTTTGTTAATTAATTTTATAACTTCTAATTTATCCTGTAATTTTAATGTAACATGCTTACGTGGAGCCATTTTAAGAAAAATACGCTAATAAATGTTACAAATACGCAGTGTAAAGCGATCTTTATGCAGTATCACACTCAACTGACGAATGTATGTAATCGACGTTCATATCTAACGTATCATATCTAAATGACGTACATGTGCGATGTCGGATGTACAAACATAATCGAAAAATTTTATTACCGGAAAATATTATTTATAAATAAATATGTACATATAATAGCGATAAGATAATTCTCAAGCCCGTTCGGATAACCGCGTCTTTCGGATTAATCTGTGTTCGGATTATCCAGACCCTACTGTACCTACAATAACTGCCAGTGATGTTAAAAATATCAACAATTTAATTTCTAATTTAACTCGCAAAGAAGCCATTGGTCATGAGCAACAGTTAAAAACTATTGATAACGGCGATATTAAAATTATTACTGGTGATGAACACAAGTTGAGACGTACTTTAAAAGTACTTGAAAAAAATAAAATTAAGTATCACAGATATCAATTAAAAATAGAAAATAGGTTCGTATTGTAATCAGCGGGTTACACCCTGACATTGAAGTATGTGAAATTAAAAGAGCCTTAGCAGATAATGGTCATTATGCAAGTGATGTCACTGACATCCAAATAAGAAAAAAAAATAAATCCTAGTGACAAAAATAGTGAAAAAAACAATATTGAAATTACCTTTATTTTTTGTAGACCTTGATCTTCGAGATAACAATAAAGATATATACGACTTAAATAGTTTATGTTATCATAAAATAAAAGTAACTCCTCCTAAGAAAAAAAAGGTGTGCCACAGTGTAAAAACTGCCAAGCCTTTGGACATACTCAACAATGCACATACAAGCAACAAATGTCAAAGTCATTAATAACATACTTATTGGGGATCAAGAATTACTACCCCTAAAGGACATGCACAACATCAGGTTCTCACTATACCCATCATTCATCGCTCATTTTCATCATTTATATTTTA